CTCGAGGCAGTTACACAGTGCGTACAACTGTCTCTGGAAGTGAAGCACCAGAAAATGAATCAAGTCGTACGCAGCTGCCATCCGTACGCAAGGAAGTAAGCACAAGATGCCGAACCCACTTTGGAGGATGCAGCGCACCCTTCATGCGACTCGCCGAATATCTCACGGCGCTTCGCGCTTGGTGATGTGAGAGCCTGGTCCGGTGAGAACCCGGCGTGCTCCGTCCCGGCTTTGTAGGGATGCGAGGTCAATGGTCTAACCACTACGGCATGCACGACTATGAGTACCCCCCCCCCCTCCCCCCCGCCACCAAAGAGATCGTCGAAGCCAACCGTGTTCCTCCTATTTTGCATCCTTCGACCACTTCACCATTCTCACGCGCATTTTCGCCTCCCCTCCCATCAAATAGATCGTCGAAGCTGACCGTATACCCGGTGCCCGACAAGCCGGTGTCTCTAGACGTAGTCCACTGGCGACGCATCCGTAGAAAGGAGACGAGGTGCTCCTACGGAAGGCCTCAGCCGAGAACGAATGTCCAGCGGTGCTACGGTCCAGAATTGACGGAGCACTTGACCAGGAGGTATGCACGCATGGTTCAGCACTGATTGCTGTTCGTCCCGTTGTTGCTGGCACTGTTTTTTTTTTGTCGGTTTGTTGGTGGACGCGGTGCACAAGTGAGTTAAGAATAACACCCCTTGTGTGTCTCGTCGTTCCGCGTATCCTCACCCTCCTTCAATTTTGTCCGCAACTAAACGTACGATGTGTGCTTTTGATGCCGGAAACTAGGGCTGTGCCTGTTGACAGCGGAACCTATTGTCGGGTATGTACGGTCCGGCACAAATGTTGTTCATTCCTTACATGCAAGTAGCCCCTGCTAGGTTTGGCCTCTCGAGGCAACACTCCGGCAGTCGCCACAAGCCGCTTCACAACAAGAATGGGGACAAGGTCGATGCAGCCATCACGAATATGACTGGGTTCGATTTTTCAGCTAGGGCATGGTCACTCCACTGCATGCACCATGTGCTCTATTTTTTGTCCCCACCAGCCTTGTGAAAGCTGAACTCGGCTTTGTTCCAAGCCCATGCATGCGATACCCCCCCCCACCCCCCTACGGCATCCACGACTATGAGTACACCCCGCCCCCCCCCCCCCCCCCCCCCCCCCCCCCCCCCCCCCCCCCCCCCCCCCCCCCCCCCCCCCCCCCCC